CATAACTGTCAAGTGATATTTTAGGAATACAAAGTCAGCAACTGTCAGTAAACTGATTGGCATTACATAAACAAGCTTTTTATACTATTTCACTTTCTACTATAATAATAATACTAGTTATGAAAAATTTTACTTGTTTTTATATGGTCCTACATATGAAATTTGCTAGAAAAAGCTAAATATGTACATATAAAGAAAAGTAAAAATGTGGAAAGATGCATAGTGGGTAATTTTATTCAAAATAAGAATAGTAAGAGTTAAGATAATGAAGAAGTAATGAATTGTTATAAAAGCTTATTTCTGTAAGTCAAAAACAGTGAAGTAATGGAATAAAAGTAGTGGTAAGATAATTTAAAATTTCATATAAGGGCTACTATGGTAATATGAAAAGTAAATTTGAAGAGAGATGGTGAGTATCATGAAAAAAGTTCTGGAATAGTGCATCTCAACTCTGCCATGACTGTGTGAGACAGCCCTGAGATGGGTCCTAAGTGGAGTGTCCTCTCCACTGAAGCTCACACTGGACTCCCCCTTACTCCTCTCTACAGTGTGGACCTGCCATAGTTAGTACAGCTACTGGCAGAAGAAGAAATAAGTTACTCATTTTTTCTACTTGTATTACTGTATTTCTTCCCGAATTCTGGGGAGGGCAGATGATAGTAAAAGAGTTCCAGCACCACTGTCCATCTTCCATATGTATTCTGAGGCGTGGTTATGCCTTTCTCTAGCATGAGTGTGAAGGGAGGTCAAAGGCTTTGGGATAGTTGAGGAGGAAGAAGTATAGGATTTGGGGGGAAGTGGTAATTTATGTTTTCCAGTCTTCATAGATATTCTTTCAAAATTTCCCAGGTACTATAAATTTCTGACACTTTCAAAAGAATACTTTTTAAATAAGTGGATGACAAATAAATATAAGGACTTGAATCATCCCCAACCACAAAATAAGATTAATCTCAGGTCATTCTCACTTCTATGCAGCCATTCCTTGTGTGATGAATAGGTATCTTCTATGATCTCTATACTAAAAGATGGAGATCTGGGTAGCATTTCTTTGAGGAGAGGATATTTTACCTAAACTTTCTGAACTTGATGTTGCATCAGAGAAACAAGGGTGATTATAACTTTTATCCTGCTCTCTCTATATTACTAATTTGCTGTAGTGTTGATTTTTAATGATCTTCTCTATTGCTTAGTTAACAAGAATATAGAATTTTCTCATTCTTCAATAGGGATAACTTAATTTATGCTCTGGGTGCCATTCAGGGAAGACTATGGGCAGTAAATTGTACACAACCTTTGGGTAAATTTTGTACCAGAGCACTGGACTGAGATTGCTTTAAGGTATCATAAGGCTACTAGTAATATTATAATAATAATACTCTGACTTATTATATATCTATGTACCTGGCACTGGTGGGTACTTCTATTTATGATGTATGCCATTTGTTTATAAATAATCCAGAAGTACTGTGTTACTATTTTTTTTTTTAATTCCAGACACTTGGACCATGTTGTCACAAACTCTGAATATCTACATCATTGTATATCCATACTCCTATAACTCTGATTTTTGTACTATACTTACTTGAATGCTTATCGTTCATGTTTAACTCTAAGCTTCTTGAGTGATATTCACCTTTGCTCCTATAGTGCATTTGCACTAAGTGAGTAAATGCTAAATACTTATTTGGTGAATGAATGAATATCTCCTTTGATCTGAGTTCTCCAAATAGTAAAAACAGCAACGGAACAGCATATTTCAAGACCATTAATATGGACGTAATTAGCCATTCAAAAGAAAGAAATAGCATGATAACAATAATAACATGAGAGTAACTTCAATATTTATTTTACAGAACAAAAAACAAAAAAAAAACTACTGTGCTCACAGGAATTAATAGTATCACTATGGCTAGTAATTTAACAGATCAATTTTTCCATTGCTGAGCTTGTTAATGAAAAAATGGTACCTTTTTTCCTAATGGAATCTCTACAGTGCAAACATTTCAAAAGTGTAATTTTTTTTTTTTTCGCGATACGCGGGCCTCTCTCTCTCACTGTTGTGGCCTCTCCTGTTGTGGAGCACAGGCTCCGGACACGCAGGCTCAGCAGCCATGGCTCACGGGCCCAGTCGCTCCATGGCATTTGGGATCTTCCCGGACCGGGGCACGATCCCGTGTCCCTTGCATCGGCAAGTGGGCTCTCAACCACTGCGCCACCAGGGAAGCCCCAAAAGTGTAATGTTTTATCTTACAGGTATTTGTATACATGTACTGAATTTTGTTAGGCCTTTCATTGAGAGTGAGAACCAGACTGGCAGTTTCAAATTACTATCTGAAATTGTAATGTTTAAATTTGCAAAGGTATCATGGGGGTTAGGGTGGAGGGGAACACTCCAGTGTCCATGACATACAAAGTCAGTGCTGTTAACAATTAAGTGTGAAAACATTTAAATAATGCACTTCCACTGACACCCAAAGAATAAAATCTAACCATTTAGGATGGTACCTAGATAGCAGATGATTTCACAGCAAAGTGCTCTGACCTCCATCAAGTTCGAATCAATAGAACCTAGGTAACTGTGGTAGAATCAAAGACAGTCTCAGCTCATGAAAGGCTCTTCTGTGCTAGAGCTATATTAAATTATCACAGCTAATGTAAAATCAAACTTGGTGTAAAAGATAAAAGGGTAAAGTTCTCACGAATGATCACTTATCACTTCATTCCGAAATGCATACAGCATTCATTATAGATTGAAATACCACTCAAATTTCACCATTTACTTGGGTTTTGAAATGGCCAAACCATTAACAGAAGAGAGTAGCTTTTTATATTTATACAACCAGTGACTAATGAAACATTATACCCTGTGCGCAAAGGAGGAAAAAAACCCTTTATTTTGTAATGAACCCAATTGGAGCCCTTTTTAAACACAGTGTAATATGGTTTCACTGTTTCATCGAGCCTCTCATTACTTGTGTCAATAATCCTAGGTAAACCACTGTTGAACTTCACAGCATTTATCTAGTAGCATGAATAGCATTAATCTATGGGGTGCTTTTGATGAATTGTAGTTCAAAAAGCAAAGCCAAAAATGACTTCTTACAAAGTGCTCAGAGAAGTATTTATTAGAAATATGTCAACTGCCAACTACCTAAAGGTAACTTGGCTATTTAGGAAATCATGCTGTTGGCTAGCTTGCAAACACTGAGAAAACATATGCACTTTCCCCACTTGAATTACTTTAAAAAAACAAATAACATACTTTTCATCTAAGTATATTATTTTTTCTGTCACTTCCCTTCTAATTCTCTATATTTTTATGTCATATTGCTTTCAACACAATGTGACATGCTATGCAACATGCCCCAGGTTCCAAAACTGTTAGGTGAGACAAGCGCTTATCAAGTTGAGGGTGAATCAGACTTCATTTCCGTGACTGCAGGATCTAAACATCCAGGTCAGCACGAACTGAAAGCTACTCCTGGATTCTGCTCTAAGGATCTAACTTATCTTCTTGACACACTCAGTGGTTGTTATATTCTCTCTGGCAGTGAGCCCGGTAGGGTTTATCTACAGGGGGTTACCACACTTAATTCCAATTTATCAGTCTAATTTGATTAGGCTGATCTTTCCCAAAAGCTGGAATTTGCACAATTCATGAGATACTAGAAATTACTCTCTCAGCTCTGTTATCTTCAAGATGTCTATATGTGGAAAGTCTATTCAATGCAAGACTTTGTTTGCCTTCAAGAACAAAAGGGTTATTAAGAACTGAGAAATAGTAGACACTAAGGCAATTTGAAAATAAAGTTGTAAATTGACTTAATACATTATTCTTTCTCCAATTTTGGCCGGTATCATAAAAAAGTAAACATCTTGGAAAAAAACACAAATGGGATTATTTTTCCCCTAAAATTAAATCCCTTTACAAAGAATTAGACTTTATCCCCCAAATTCCTTTTTTGGAAAGGTATAAAATTAACTCATGCTTCTTACAGTTATTTTATACTTAGGTTCATGAGAAAGATTTCAAATAAGTGTACTCCCTTCAGGATTTCTAAGATCCATTGGATTTATTACAGCATTGTGTAATTTTTACACAGTACTCATTCAAATACTGTAATATTGTGTAGAACACAACATTAGTCTTAAAAAAAACGTTTTCTTGGTGAACTATATGAGAAAAATCTTACATTCTCTAATGCTTTTTTCTCTTGGAGATTCACATTGTACCCTATAAATAAACTCTGAGAAGTCCTGCAATAAAGAAATCTGACTAATTTTGTTTATTGTGATATTTATCGATTTCAGAAAAGTTCATCTTCGTTTAACAATATGTTAAAGCTACCTCATGAACAACTTATCCTGGCTTTTGGAGTTTAGGAAAAACAGAGATTATTTTTAATCTTGGGTATTGGCATGTCTTTTTGCCATTTTCCTATATTTACTCAAATTGTGAGATCATTGCAGAGGAGAAAAAAATGTCTGTGGGTGTTTCAAATTATTGTTCTTAAGAAATTAGTGCAGTTTTCACTAGTATTGTACACCTCTGTCTTTGCTACATCTCGATTACATGCTATCTCTCTTTGTAAAACTAGTAATAGTGATTATAAAGCATATTTTTATGATAATACTACCAAAATTAACTCAGGGAAAATATTGTTTTCATGATTCTGATTTATAATTTAAAGCATAAAATGTAAAGAAAACCATTAATATGATTTACTATTCACCACCAAATATTATACAGTATATTTATAATTAAAAAATCTTTCACAAATATAAATTTTATTTCGAGTATAGGCTGTAATTTTATTTTATTAGTTTGACTTGAAACATATTAATTGTGAATCATGGAGATATTTACACTTATGAGAAGTCCTTGTGAAAGAAAAAGAAAACCCGTTTAAATTTGTTTATTATTCTAAAGATTTTGATAAATTTAAGCAGTTTTTCAGGTCATTCTTGCATGTATAATAATGTCAAAAGGTACTCACCATGTACAATGAGAACATACTCTGCGCTGCTTTGGCCAATGGTATTTGTGGCTTCACATCGATATGTACCATTATCCGTTTTGTTGAGGAAAAGAATGTTTAGCTCCCTACCACTCACAACCATTCGGTCAGGATCTGGTAATTCTCCGCCATCCTTTGTCCACAAAACAGGTTCTGGCCTATTGGATTTAAACATGCATATAAACAAAAAACATATGAAATGTTACATATTCTGTGAATTAATTAAGGAATTTATAAATATTTAACACTCATTTCATGGATAACTATGTGCTAACTTCTATAAGGTACCAAAAGAATCATAATGCACTCACTCAGAAGATTTTGGAGGTATGGCAATTATAATTTTATTCTATTCTCCTTAACTAAGCAGACATGTATTAAGGAGCTAATTAGTTGATTCACTATAGTAGTCACTGATAGATAGCAGGTCCTGCGGCCCATATTCTGTGGCTAAATGTCTCATACCTGCTGGTCTCTGGAGGATTGCCTGTGGTTATTGGAGCAGCCGTCCACAGAGGCACCTGGAATTATACCTTTGCATTTGGGACCACCATTGTGGGGCACAGCTTTGCCTGAAACCACCTGAAATTTCTCCCCTTTACCTTTCCTGCTTTCTCATCCCTCTAGAGGTTTTTTTTTCTGCAAGTTATCTCTTTTCTTTTCTTTCCTCCTTAGCTTTACTGAGATATAACTGACACACAACACTGCACTAGTTTAAGGTGCAGAGCATAATGATTTGATATATGTAAATGTTGCCACATGATTACCACAATAAGTTTGGTGAACATCCATCACCTCACATAGTTATTTTTTTTTCTTGTGATGAGAACTTTTAAGATCTACTCTCTTAACAACTTTAAAATATACAATCCAGTATTATTAACTATAGTTGGCATACTATACATTATATCCTTAGAACTTATAACTTGAATTTTGTATCTTTTGACCACCTTCACCCATTTCCCCTATCCCCCACCCCTGCCTCTGGCCACTTCTATTCAACATTTTACTGGAAGTCCTAGCCAGAGCAATTAAGCAGGAAAATAAATAACAGATAACCAAATTGGAAAGGAAGAAGTAAAACTGTCTTCATTTGCAGATGATATGATAGCACATAAAGAAAACCCTAAAAATTCCACTAAAAAGCTCTTAAAACTAATAAATGAATTCAGTAAAGTTACAAGATACAAAATCAATAGACAAAAATCAATTGAATTTCTATACACCAATAATGAAATATCAGAAACAGAAATTAAGAAAATCTATTTTATAATTGCATCAAAAAGAATAGAATACTTAGAAAAAAAAAATGTAACCAAGGGGGTGAAAGATCTGTACACTGAAAACTATAAGACATTAATGAAAGAAACTGAAGAGGTCAAATAAATAGAAAGATGGTCTTTGCTCATAGATTGAAAGAATTATTATTAAATGTCTATACTACCCAAAGCAATCTACAAATTCAATGCAATCCCTATCAAAATTTCAATGGCATTTTTCACATAAAAAGAACAAACAATCCTAAAATTTGTATGCAACAACAAAAGGCCCCAAATAGGCAAGCAATCTTGAGAAAGAAGGAAAAGCTGGGGGTTTCACACTTCCTGATTTCAAATGATATTTCAAAGATATGGTACTTAAAAGAGTATGATATTGGAAAAAATATAGACACATAGATAAATGGAATAGAAGTTTCAAAAATAAACCCATGCATATACGGTCAATTAATTTTTGACAAAGGAGGTAAGAATACACAATAGGGGAAAGGACAGTCTCTTCAATAAATAGTGCAGGGAAAACTGAAGTGCCACACACAAAAGAATAAAGCTGGGCCCCTATTTTACGTTATACATAGACATCAACTCAAAATGGATTAAAAACTTGAATGTAAGACCTGAAAATGTAAAACAGAAAGAAGCTCCTTGGCATTGGTCTTGGTGACGATTTTTCAGGTTTAACACCAAAAGCAAAGACAACAAAAGCAAAAATAAACAAGTGGGACCACGTCAAATTAAAAAGCTTCAGCACAGCAAAAGAAACAACTTAAAAAATGAAAAGGCAGCCTATGAAATGAGAGAAATTATTTGCAAATATTATGTCTGGGTAAATAAGATAAGGGGTAAATATCCAAAATAAAGAAAGAGCTCATACAAGTCAGCAGCAAAAAACCCTGATTAAAAACAGATAATCTGAATAGACATTTTTTACAAAGGAGATATACAAATGGACAACAGGTACATGAAGAGATGCACAACATCACTAACAGCCAGGGAAATGAAAATCAAAACCACGATGAGATAACACTTATACCTGTTAGAATGGCTGCCTTCTAAAGGACAAGAAGTAATAACTGTTGGGGAGGGTGTGGAGAAAAGGGAACTCTCCTACACTGGTGATGGGAATGTAAATTGGTGCAGCCACTATGGAGAACAGTATGGAGGTTCCTCAAAAAATTAAAAATAGAATTACCATATGGTCCAGTGATTCTACTTGTGGGTATATATCCAAAGGGGGAAAAAAAAAAAATCACTGTTTCAAAAAGGTATCTGCACCCATATCCATTTTAGCACTGTTTACAATAGCCAAGACATGGAAACAACCTAAGTGTCCATTTACAAATGAATGGATAAAGAAAATTAATTCCAAATGTAATGGAATACTATTCAGTCATTAAAAAAAAGAAGGAAATCCTGCCATTTGTGACAATATGGATGGACCTTGAGGGCATTACGCTAAGTGGAAAAGTCAGACAGAGAAAGACGGATACTATATAACTTCATTTATATGTGGAATCTAAGAAAAAACTGAACTCATAGAAACTGACAGTTCTCCTTTAATCAAATACTTGCAAACAATTCTCAAAACCTGCTTTCAAGGAAGAAAGGATAAATGAATCATGAATTTCTGTCTTCAAAGAGTTCAGTCTTATGTAATTGTTAATGATAAGAATGGTTATTAGTATCTATCACCATGTGTTGACAATGTCCTAGTTACTTTACGTAGATTTACTATAATCCCCGTAAGAACATGGTGAGTATCATTTTAAAAAATATAATGCAGATAATAATATAGAAGATTAGAGATGTATTCAAACCCTGGTCTGAATCCATAGTCAATGCTTTGCCCACTACCCCTTGTGTTCTAACATGATGAATATTTTCCTAGTTCTTCTATGTCAAAATTTTTAAATTTAAACATGATTTTATCTTACCATTATAAATTATTTTCAAAAAAGCTTTAATTATTTGTTTATTTTGGTGAAAATATTGAACTTATGCTTTGTTGTCGTGAATACAATTAGAACATAGGTCTTGATAAGTGGTGCCTATGACTACCACAGCTTTTCTAAGATGAAGAATATATATTTTTCTGACAAAATTTTGTAAAAGAAATAAAAGTTGCGAACCAAATAATAATAAATATTGTAAATTGTATCAAAATAAGTAGATCAGCAGTATGGTAAAAAAGTCACTTAGTTTTTTAGTAAAAGCTTGTCACCTAAAAACATTAGAATAATACAATAATTTATATCATCCAATTATATAGACAACTCATTCTGATAGCATCTTTAATAAAAGTCAAACCATTAATACTTCTCAACTCTCTTCATATATTCCTCATTTGCTTCTTGCTATTTGAATTTACTAATTCTTATTTTAAAACTGATAGACTGGATAATCTTGGACCATAGACATCCTTAAAATTCTTTAAATAAAAAAGCAGGCACAATAAAACTATGATTAACTGCATGTAAGTGAAATAATTAGAAATTGCATCCTTTCTACAAAGCCACATAAGGCCAACATTAAGATAACAATTACATTAAGGATAATTTGAATTTCAGAAAATTCATCCTTAAAATACTGCTTAATAGAAGTATTTTATTATATTAAGAGGCAATATTTCTTCATATATAAGTTGGAATTTAAACACACAGATATAATTATATGCAAATACCTATACATTTCCATACATAAAATATACTCCCCAAATCTAAACTGTCAATTTTTTCTCTGTTAGTGTTCACAAGCTTTAAGTCATATCTTAAAGCACATGGCTCTGTAAATATGTAATTAAATTTAGATATATATTTTAAATTTTGTGTATAGAAATGAAGTTAAAGATCTAGAAAAATTATTCAAGTTGCCAGTATTTAAAAAACTTTTTTTCTAAAATAATAATTCTCTCTTTTAGGAAATAATGAACAAACACCTGCAAAAATGGTTAACAGGAGATTACAGCAGTATAAGTCACTCCTGACACCGAACACTGCAGTATTCTTGATTGTACTCTGAATGATAAAACTTCAAGGTGGCAAAAAATGTTACCACCATAAGATGCAATTTTAACAAAATGGAGGTTAGAGTTTACACATCGATTAAAAATAGCCTACACATATTCCAATTAGTACTTAAAATGTTCAAGCTTCTTAATAAAATAAGCTTCACCATAAAAATATTAACTGGTTTAGCAAGTCTTGATACAATTTGTGTTTCATCTTAATAAAGAGGGCCCCTAGGCTTTCTCTAATTGGAACCTAGAATGATTGAATTTCTTGCTGCAAATGAATAAAAATCTTCCCTGCTATTCAGGCAACCAAAGGAGATCATTTAAAAAGTGGTTCCAGTCTACAGTTTCTACGTGATAAGGCTGAAAAAGAGTAGGAGCCAGACACCAGTAATAAGAGGACAGTGACACAGCATCAGGCATGAGATAATACTGTATAACTCTACAGCAAGAATATTAAGATAGCCAATCCAGAGAGTTGCCCCTTTCAAAGCAATTAATTTTCAACTAAAAGTAGAAAATCTTCTGAATGAGATGAAATTAAATTTATGTTTGTCTACCAAATCTATAAGGTTGAAAAAGATGTTTTGTTTTCTTAGGTACCTAAAAATACTTGTGTAGCAGTTTCTTCCTAGGGTAAGCAAAAACAACAAGAAAATAAAAGTGAAAAAAGGAACCAAATATGCTTATATATTTATTCTCTTGTATCCTAACGTCTTGGTGAAGTTGTTTTTATCTTAACAGACTTTTAAAAAACTTTTATTGACTCACTGTTTTGTAGATATATAATAGGAGAATCTCTGATATCTTTAACAATTCCTTTTTATAAATTAGTGTTGGAAAGAATTGCCACAACTTTCTCAGACTACCA